TAGAGGAAGGTCTAATAACTAGTGACTTTGAAGTCATGGTGATGATAAATGAAATTTAGAGTTTCAAAAAAACTGTGGTTTAAGAGAACTTGTGGTCTCTCTTGGCAATCAAACCACCAATCTTCCTAACCCGCTGTTTGACAACCTTCTCTCATCATGGAAGACAAGGCTAAATTTTTTTTGTTTGTTTGTTTGTTTGTTTTTTTCTTCTTCTTCTTCCCTTTTTGGTACTGGGGATAAGTTCCTAGCCCTTTTTATTTTTACTTTGAGATAGGGCCTTGCTAAGTTACTGAGGCTGGCCTTGAACTTACAATCCTCCTGCCTCAGCCTCTTGAGTCACTGGGAAAGACAGTTGTGTGTCTCCTCACCTGTCAAGGCTAAATTTCTTATAGGACTGGGAAAGTAAGACTTTTTCACACCATGTTTACAGACCCTTGAATGCTATATAGACAGATTCCTGGCATGCACCAATGCAGGCTGAGAACTTCTGCAGCACTGGCCTGCATGGGTGGAGGGTCTGGTTAGCCCACTCCTGGATTGATCCACCACATTTCCAGTAGTAAGAGGTGGAGTGAGGAAGCCCCCAACCATCAGGGACAGTTAGATTCCCTGTGAGTAAACCATTCCAAAGGAACAGACTTCATTTATAACATGTGGGAATGTTCAAGTCTAAGGTACACCAAGAAGAGTGGGGGTGAAAACAGCAGAGGCTGTAGGGAAAGGCAATCAGGAGGCAACTGAACGTATCACTTCCATGGCTGCAGGGTGCATGTCACCTCAAACTTTATATATTGAAATGCAGTCCCCACTGTGATGGTACTGAGGACAGGGCCCCTCGAGAGTACATAGATAAGCAGGGTGGAGCCCTCATGAATGGGACTCTGCCCTTATCAAAGGGACTCCAGAGAGCTCTCCTTTCTCGTGTGAAGGTCCAATGAGAAGTCACCCATCTACAACCTAGAAGGTGGCCCTCAACAGAATCCAGCCTTGCTGGTGAGCAACCTCAGACTACCAGACAACAAAACTGGGAGAAAGAAGTTCTGTAGCTTAGTATCGCCCAGTTGGTGGTATTTTGTGACAACACACCAAGCTGACTAGGATAGACACAGCCTAAACTGTAGACAGCTCGTTTTCCAAAAAATACAAGGAAAGAAACACCTGGAAGAGCCCTCCTAGAATCAGAACAAATTTCAAACATGGGCTTTGGGAACTGTCCCTTCAAATGAGTGAATTTGATCACATAACTATGAGGCCATGGAGGCCCAGGACTTGACTGAAAATGACTGAGCAACCAGCCTGCAGGTGGGGAGTTAGGAACCGCTTAGGTCTGGCAAAGGTGACCATAGCAGCAGCCACCAAGGCGACCCGAGCAGCCGTGTCCTCTGAAGGCCACCTGAGGAGGCGTGCCTCAATACCTGGCACCACGGACTGGCTAAATGGACACATAAAGGTAAACTTCACATGTGCCCAAGACGTCAAACTTAACCCATCTCCCAAGTAGACATCTGTTCAAAGAACCAAAGGAAATTGGTGAAGAATTAAAGGAAGGTGCAATGACAATGTCACATGGGCAGAAACTGTGGAATTGAACTATAGAAATTTCAGACAGAATTTCTGGAGTTGCAAAGGGCAGTTGGGGAGGTGAGCATTTTGTAGAGGGTCCAACAGCAGATGTGAAGCAGCAGAAGAAAGAACTAACAAACTTGAAGGTGGGCTGGCAGAGGTGGCAAAACCCAGATGACAGACAGGTAAAGGACAGAAGAAACCAAAGACCAACTGTGAGTCGTGAGGCACACATGTGTGTTGCAACCCACGCGTAACAGAAGCACCAAAAGAGAGGAAAAGTGGAAAAACATCCAAAACACAATAACTTGAAACTCCCTGAATTTATTGAAAAACTCTACATATACAGTAAGCTCAACAAAGCTGTCCTCCCCTGGCCCACTCTGCACAGCTTGGACCTGCCGAGCCTCCACATCACATGAGCAAATTCCTTAAAATCCTACCCCATGTACATATGTCCAATGTAAATAGCCAACATGAATCCAGCAGGATGTTTGAAGTGCATTTGTACCATAGAGGAGCATCCTGACTCTGGAGCGCCCTCCTGCCCGACTCCAGGGCTGGTTTCGGTCTTTGGTCTGCTGGCTAAGCAGTGATTGACCAGATGGCTGCTGTGAGGTCTGTTCTCCCATCACCACCCCTGAGCTAAGTAGGACAAATGCAAAGGGATCTGCAGACACATAAGAATAAGAAAGCTGAAAGACAAGAGGAAATCTTGAAAGTAGAAAGAAAAAAACAAACTACCTGTCTACATGTTCAGTGTAATTTCTATCAAAATACCCAATGATATTATTCCCAGAAATAGAAAAATAATCCTAAATTTTGTGTTAAACCACAAAAGATCCTGAAAAGCCAAAGTAGTTCTGGGGGGGGGGGGCAATAATAAATTTTAAAAATTTGAATAAATTTAAATAAATTCAAAATTACAGCTGGAGGTATTAAAATACATAACTTCAAAACATACCACAAGGGGCTTGGGGAGATAGCTCAGATGGTAGAATGCTTGCCTCATGTGCACAGGCCCTGGGTTCAATCCCCAGCACAACAGCCTCCTACCACGTGGGGTTCCTCCTCCCACCTTTTTGTATTTTCCATTCCTTTGCTCTGCTCTGTCTTTGCTCTCTTGATTTTTTGGTTACACTTTCCTGAAGGAACCTGCTTTCATGAATTTCATTATCAAATCTAAAATCAAACCAACTTCTCTACCCCATGAGCTGCTGCATTAACCCAACAGTTCTTTCTCTGTCTTTTCTTTAAATAGTCTTTAAATAGCTGTAAATGCAAAATTCATCTTCAATTCTATATTTAGTACCCTCCAATAATCAATCATTTCTCTTAGTGAAAAATCCAAAACCTCCTCAGGGTTACTAATGATCCACAGGAACAAGGCTCTACCCCTCCCCAGGCTGACCTCTGTCCACCTCCCCAGTCACTCTGCCTCCCTCTTCTGCCCTGACTGCTACTATTTCAGCCTGGACTTCTCTGTCCACTTCTGCTCTCCTCCTCCCAGCAGTTAAGGTTAAGCACTTGGTGGGCAGAGCTTCCCTAACCCCCTGCTGATGCAGGCCTTGCTGGTCTGCCTTCACGCCCAGACTACTCTCTGTTCCACAATGTTCTAGAGAAACAGAAGCACATCCTTATTCTCTATAGAGATCAAACCCTCTTGCCTTCTGGAATTAGGCTTCATTGCAATCTTCCTTACCTTTTCTATATCTTGTACCTCCAAGCATTGCAGACTGCAGCAGGAGACCTCGTACTTCAGGGGATTAAAAGTATTTGTTGAATTAATGAATGGAATCAGTCAGGGTGTGTGGGGGGGGAGGGGGTAGTGGCAGAGATCTCCTAAATCCTGGCTGAGTGGAGAGGATTTGTGTTGTGCTGCGGGCCTGACTCCAGGCCCATGGTAGCAGAGAGCACTCTGATCTTCCTCTCCCTTCCCCCCTTTCTTCCTTCCCTGAAACTTCATTAAGCAGAAAATACTAAAAGTCTAACTTATCCAAGACAAATGTTTGGCACTTAAAAACTCCTTATTCGCTCTGGGACTGGGGATATAGCTCAGTTGGTAGAGGGCTTGCCTCACATGCATAAGGCTCTGGGTTCAATCCCTAACCACAAAAAAAAAAAAAAAAAAAAAAAAAAAGCTTTATTTGTTCTCTTATCACAAGGAGATAATGCAGGACAAAACACAATTCCAAAGTCTTGGTGTCCTTTTTTAGTCATTGTTGCCCCAGCTGTCACACATCAGGTTTGAGGTGTGCAAGGCCAGTTTCCCAACAGTGCGCAAAAGGGAATCCCTCAGGGACCAGCCGCGCTGCCTTCTCAGGGCTTTTCTATCATCCTCCTTGAAGTCTTTCTTATTCCCAGCAGAAGAGAAGACATACTGTGAGGATGGTCTTAGACCTGAGCCTAAGTCACTCCATTTTAAAAACTCCAGTTTGAAACCTGCAGTCTCACCAAGACACCCCAGAGCCCTCCACTGTGGCCTCAAACAAGTTACTTCCCATCACTCTGATGAACAGAGTGAAGCCCCTCGCAGGCTGTCCTCACCTGATAAGAGGGAAAGGAGAGAAGATCAGGGGGGAGACACCAGACCAGATGTTTCTGACCCCAGGGTGAATGATGTTACTGAGAAATCCGGTGGTAGCTGATAAGGATTGAAAGGGGGGGTCAAAAAGCCCCCAAATTTAGTATAAATAATAGAGCAAATGAACAGGGGTTCAGCCAGACGGAACAAGGGTGCACTCGAGCTGGAGAGCCTGATGAGGATCTGTCATCCCATCACTTGTCATGGTTCCTGAGCCTCTGCATGATCCTAACTGCTCTCAAACTCTACTGCCTCGTCTGGACCTTGGTGAGAGCTGCAACTTCTCCCTATGACCCTGTCCTCAACCTGTCGTCCACTCCACCCAGGAAAAGCCTGCCTTGGTTCTGGACCTGGTCACCGTGGTCTGAGTGAGTGTGCATCTGCTGGACATAAAGCCCAAGGCTTCAGACTTTTGAACTTAGCACGCAGAGGGAATGTCTGTCATGAGCCTGTCATGATTGTGTTTTGCAGTACTTAGAATTGTTTGCTGTGAATTGATTATGTCTATAGCATAAGGATTGTTGTTTTCCTGATTAACAATCTATAGAGTTAAACTGCATCGAGTAATTTGAGTGAATAAAGCATTGAAAAGGGCAGAAGCACGTGGACATTCCTTATTTCTCCCCTCGACTGCATACATCGCAATTTTGCCCCTTAGCGACACATGCCTAAAGACGGAAGGTCCCCACACAGAAGCCCATCTTCTGACGTTGTCGTGGGTGGGAGACCTCAAGTCACTGATTCCTTACAGCCACAGGACCCTCTGCACACTAGAGGGGATGCTCAGCCTGGGCTCCGAAGCCAGAGTCCTGGTCCTGCCTTGGCCCCAGGAGCTGCTGCCTATAGACCCTCCCTACCTAATGAAGACCTGTCCTCTCACTCTGACTCCACAGAGGCCATGCTGCCTTCTGATAGCTTTTCTAACAGCCTCCTTAAAGTCTTTGTTCCTCAAGCTGTAGATGACTGGGTTCATCAGTGGTGTGACCACGGTGTAGAAGACAGAGATGATCTTGTTGATTTCGGGTGACAGGTGGGCACTGGGTGCACATACATGGAGATCATGGTCCCATAGTAGATGGTGACAACAGCCAGGTGGGACCCACAGGTGGAGAAGGTCTTCCTCTGTCCAGAGCTGAAGGGATCCTCAATATGGAGGACACAATGAAGACATAGGACACGAGGGTCAGGAGAAAGCAGACGCACAGCACTGCGACCGACAGGACAAAGATGGCCATCTCGGTGACGTGGGCACTGGAGCAGGAGAGTTGCATGAGCGGCGGGAGGTCACAGAAGAAGTGGTTGATCTGGTTGGGCCCACAGAAGTCCAGCTGGGAAATCATCATGGATGGCAGAAAGCCTGGGCCCACCCCTGTCAACCAGCAGAGGGCCACCAGGTGCCTGCAGGTGTCAGGGCTCATGAGGAAGGGGTAGTGCAGTGGACTGCAGATGGCCAGGTACTGGTCGTAGGCCATCATGGCCAGGAAAAAACACTAAGTAGCCCCAAAGAACACGAAGAGGTAGAGCTGTGCCATACAGGCGGAGAAGGAGATGGCCCGGCCCCAGGAGGCCAGGTTAGCCAGAAGAAGGGGCACGATGGTGGACGTGTACCAGATCTCCAGAAAAGAGAGGTGCTGGAGGAACGTGTACATGGGGGAGTGCAGGCACCGGTCCTGGCTCACCACTGCGATGATGACCATGTTCCCAGTGAGGGTCAGGAGGTAGATGAGTAGGAAAATGGTGAAGAGCAGGGTCTGCCACTCCTGAAGGGTCTGGAATCCGAGCAGCTGAAACTCGGTGACTGCAGACACATTTGGGGCTTGCATCGTCTGGGGGCAGGGACTGCAGAAAACATGTATGATAAGCACAGGGTACAAGGACAAGAATATTATGACCGTTGGTGTTTGGACCTTCGGGGCTTTTTTGTTTTGTTTTAGGTTTGCACGTGCTGCTCTTGGGAGGTTCAAATGCACAATCCCATGCTCCTTTTATTTGACCACATTTGGATCTGCAGATCAATGGCTCCATGCTTCCTGACCCAGTCACTCCTCCGTCTCCTCAGTGAGGATTGCAAATGTGTTCTGTTTTCAAACCTCAGCATGGCCTTGTCTCTCTGTACCTTCAACAAGTGATCTCTTTGACCAGAAGTCTGGGGTCCCCATGGAAGCAAGTGCAGGCTTAGGCCACTAACACCCCCACCTACCATTTGTCTGTACCCTGAAGGAGTGGTGTGCATAGGTCTCAGCTAGTCCCTCACTTGGGCTGTGTCCTCCCCCATGCTGGGAGGTGCTGCAGGTTTCCAGCTCACCCTCTCCTGGCCAGCAGTGGCCACCTCTCTGCTGGAGTTATTCCAGTTTGCCAAAAGCCTGGTTTTCGATCCCTGTAAACGAGAGGTGAAGCATACCATCAAGGTCCAGCTGTGCTGCCTCCGTGGGCTGCCCACCCCGTGGACTCCTTCCCTGGTGGAGACCATCCCTTCCTTCAATGGCCCTTAGTCCTCTGCTTCATTTATGAGTTGGTTTGTGCGTTTGCTTGTTGTAGTGGGGGTTGCACCCGGGCCTCACTCGTGCAAGGCAAGTGCTCTACCACTGAGCTCCACCCTAGCCCTTTTTTTTTTAAAACAGGGAGAGAGAGAGAGAGAGAGAGAGAGAATTTTGATATTTATTTTTTAGTTTTCGGCGGACACAACATCTTTCTTTGTATGTGGTGCTGAGGATCGAACCCGGGCCACACGCATGCCAGGCGAGCACACTACTGCTTGAGCCACATCCCCAGCCCACACCCCAGCCCTTTTGATTTTAGACAGGGTCTCACCAGTTGCTCAGTCTGGCCTGGCACTTGTCACCCTCCTGCCTCTGCCTCCAAGAAGTTGGGATCACAGGCGTGACCACCACCACCCCCAGCACCTCTGCTTGCTTTGTCCACTTCTCTCAGGACCCCTCCCTCTTCCTGATCAGCTCGTCACTTAATATCCATGACCTTCCTCTGAGTTCCACCATAGCTGGCTCTTCACGTTTGCAAACTCTCAGGGTTTACAGCAGCTCAACATGCAGCTCTTGACTTTACTCATTCATTCATTCATGGTGCTGGGGTTACACCGGGCCTTCTGCTAGCCTGACTCTACATTAAGTCTCTCAGCTCTTATCCCTCAATTTCACGTGTCAGTCTTGAATATTAGTGTGCAAACAGCTGTCCCATCTGAAATGCACCACAGATGTCCACTCAGCTCCTGAGGCTTCTGTGACCTCACCTCCCAAAGCTGTCCAGGAGACCCTTGGTGCAGCTGTCCACCCCCACTAGGGGGCACTCTTCTCCAGTCGCTCAACCAGAAACCTTGACTCTGACCCAATATTAGACTGTTCTGCAAAATCAGCTGGCTCCACCTGCAACTATTTCCAGGTCCAGGGGGATCACTATTTTCCACCCACTTTGCTTGCTGCCTGGAATAGGTGCCACCATCTCTCACCCTGATGGTTGCAGCGCTTTCCCTGCGGCCCTCCATGACCACTGTGCCCTACTCAGGAACTCAGTCTCTGTGAGGAAGTGAAAGCGCATCTTACACAGGGGCACAGAGGAGCTGCGGATCATCCCTGGTTGGTGAACAGAACACTGGCCAGTCCACGCATTCCTCTGAAGACCCTCTCTTCTGCTGATTTGCCACTTTGCTCATCATCTCCAAGACTGCAGTTCGTTTTTTTTTTGCTGTGTTCTGTTTTCTCCTCTTGTGCCTGGGCAAAAGCATCAGGAAGGCTATGTCCACTGAACATGGAACCTTTACATGGACTGAAGATGACACCGTAAGCAGCACAGAGCAGGAAGCCTCACGCACACACTGGATCTCTTAAATCCAGCTCAAGACGAGGCCATGGGGACCCCAGGGCATTCTTGGTTGGCTGGGCCCTGCTGGGTCCTCTTCCCTGCCCCTCACACCTGGGTCTGCTCTTCTCCTTGCCCATTTGGTTCCCGACTCTCATCTCCAGTGGCTTCTTCTAGCCACCCAGATCTTGCCTTTCTGTCCCCTTCACAGGCCCCCGGGATATTGTCCCTGGACATGTCTGTGGGCTCGTTTCCCACATCCTTTTGCCCCTTCAGAGACCACTTCCTGCCTGAAGTCTGGAGGAGCTGGTCACCAGTATGACCAGCAGGTGACACCATCCAAGGCAAGCGCTGTCCCTTGGCCTGAAGAGCATATCCCAGCAGTTCTGCCTCCGAACTTCTCATGAACAACCAGGGGATGCTGGATGCTGGAATTTAACCACATAGAAGGATTTGCTCCAAGATTGGGTGATACTTAGAAGCTGTCTGGGCACACAGCCATGATACAGTTATGTCCCCAGATTCTTATAGTTATTAACTACGCCATCTTGGAACATGGTCTTTTCCTGCCTTGGCTTTCTCACTTTTTTGTGTGTGACATTATCATGTAATCAAGTAAATCTATTTACTGTTCCTTTTAAATGTAATATCCTGCTTATCTTGCTCACTTTTACAGACCCTTATATACAGTTTATATCATAGTTTTATTACCATTGACCTTGATCATGAATAAATTAAAAATAAATCATTTAGCCATGGGGAAGTATGATATGCAGGTTTGTGAGAGCCCAATAAAAGCAAACAAGCACAGCATCCCACTAGACTAAGTTTACAGGGTTTTGGGCTCAGTTTCCCAGTTAAAGTTCCTTTTGGGGGGGCGGGGTACTGGGAATTGAACTCAGGGCACTCAACCACTGAACCACATCCCCAGCCCTATTTTGTATTTTATTTAGAGACAGGGTCTCACTGACTTGTTTAACACCTCAATGTTGCTGAGGCTGGCTTTGAACTCCAAATCCTCCTGTCTCAGTCTCCTGAGCCTCTGGGATGACAGAAGTGCACCACAGCTTCTGGCTAAACTTTCTCTTATATGTTCAAATGCAACAAGAAACTGAACTTATTTAATCATCATTCATTGCTTAAATACTTTCAATAATAAACTCACTACAATTACTTAAATATTATTTCTAACTTTTAAAATTAGCTTCATTACCTGGGTGCTGTGGCACATGCCTATAATCCAGGAGGATTGAGAGTTCAGAGCCAGCTTCAGCAAAAGCAAGGCCTAAGCAACTCAGTGAGACCCTGCTTCTAAATAAAATACAAGATAGGGCTGGGAATGTGGCTGGGAATGTTGCTCAGTGGTCAATCCTTGGTACCAAAAAAAAAAAAAAAGTAAAGAAAAGAAAAAAATTAG